TGGTGCAAATTACTGACCTCTGTCATCATTTTAAGTGGGGGAACTTGCACAATCGGTGGCTGACTAAATACTTTTTTGCCCCACTGTATAACTATTTAAAAAATAGCAAAAGCTCAAATAGGCAGAAAATGTGAGTAAAATGAACCAAAGACGTCAGCTGTGATTGACTGCTAGTACAAAGGTGGACATAAAATCTGTCCAAGCAGCAGCTCATGTATATTTGTACAGAGATAGGGATGTGACTAAGAACAGTGACTGTGCGGTGAAGTTTGAGGGGAAACATCTAAACATGAAAAAACTAAATCTTTGTCTCTAATCTAAAGACATTTCTTGGATTAACAGAGAACTGAGGGTCAAACTGAAATATCTGTCTGTGTTTATACACGTGTGTGTCATACTGCAGCTTCAGATGTTGACTGCTGCTGTTTGCCGATGGTCTTGGGAAGCTTCTTGTTTTCGCAGCGCTCATGAAGACGCAGCTTCTCAAACAGAATCTACAAACATTGTAAATCCACAACATCCACAAAACATGAAGCAGACGCAAAGCGTAGAAGAATACAAACGTTTGCATATGCACGGTATACACAGACACAGAAAAGCCATATACTGCGCACAGTATCCAGATGTACACATGAAGGTACGTACTGTTCGTAGCTGAGTGTTGCTGGTCAACAGAAATATTTGTCCAGCTGCTCGGTGTGCTTCCTGCTCCAGTTGTTTCATTTTAGTCTGACAGAGTTGGAAAGGCAGACAAAATCACAGCAGAACGTGGCAGCACGGATCAGGTCAGCAAAGTTCACAGACCTCTAGAACAACATACTTTGGATGGACAAAATCAAAGCGGAGATGTTTGAACACCACGCTTGGTGAAAACCAACTGTCAAGCACGGTGGTGGAGGGGTGATGATCTGGGCTTATTTTACCGCCACAGGACCCGGGCAGTCACTGAGTTCACCGTGAACTCCTCTGTATACCAAATATTCTAGAGTCAAATGTGAGGACATATGTGTGACAGATAACAGGAGAATGATCTCAAGCACAGCAGCAAAACTACAACAGAATGGCTGAAAAAGAAAAGAATCAAAGTGCTGTAATGAGTGATTAAGTTACTTCAAGTTATTGCTGCTAAAGATGGTTTTACAAATGACTAAATCTTAGAGGGTTACTTAGTTTCTTTTTGACATGACTGTATATGTGAAACAGGAAGACATTTATTACACTCTGTATCTTACTAGGTGACCTCCTTCCTACACCTTTCCGTCCCATGGGAAACACATGTGATGTCTAAAACCTGCAGTACACCGGCCCTTGAGGCCTGGATTTCCCCACCCCTGTTTTAGAAAAAAACCCAGGAAAGTCAGGGTAACATAAGAAACATAGAAAGAGGAAATGATGGAAAACAAATGGCACATAAAAGAGAAAGAAATCAAAAAAATAAGGAGAGAGAAAAACAGAAAACGCGCTACAGAAATGAGGCAAACAAGTGACTTGGCATAGAAAAAATGGAGAGACACAAGAGAGGACTGAAAGATAGAAGCACTATTAAATAACTTGAAGATGCAAAGAGGATGAATCCCAAGAAGAACGCGATTGTGATAAAAAATAAATGTGAAAGACTTAAATGAGGGCATAAAGGCGTGAAATTCATTCTTATACAATATTTAAGCCAAATGTGAAGATTTTGAGCTGTTTTTTTAATGAAGGGGGCGACACCCTCATCACAGCTCACTGCAAGTCTGAACAAAGCACTTGACAGACAAACCAGGGAATGAGGTTAGAGAAACGGAGACGAGAGGAAACGAGGCGGAGTGTATCGGGGTAAATGTGTTGATGAAATGAGAGACAACAGTCTGAAAGAGCAGCAGAGTGACGGATTTGGGAATATGGGACAAAAAAATGGGTAATTGGAAGAGTTGAAAGAAAGTTGAACTGGGAAGTAAACACTGGTGTGGGTACATGGGGGAAAATGTGAGAAGTAACACTGGTTATTCATGAACTGGTGAGAACATGTTTGGGCTGGACCTTAACACAAAATTGCATTTGGAACAAGAAGGCAAGTTCAGAGACATGACTTGACAAAAACGTAGGGGGAAGTGGAACAACTGTGGCACAAAATCAAGGACAGCAGTGTGGCGAGAGACTAACACGAAGGGACAGAAAGAAAATGAAAGGAGAAAATTGGGGTGAGCTGTCAGACATGCACCTAAAGTCCAAAATATGCACTTTTCTCTTGCCCGGAGCAGCCACCAGACTGCCTCATCAATATTGGATGGGAGCCCCTTAGTACTTTGTTTGACACAGAACGGCACACATACAGAAGGCACAGGGCTCTATAGGGCAATATTTTTATTGCACTTCACACCATGTGGATCAAGACGTGGACTTTTTTGATGGAAATGAAGAAATAGATGACATCTAAATCAAGGTGGAAAAAAGCTTAAGGGACTTTTTAAACATGTAGAGTGAAGAAGAACAATAATCAGCGCACAGATTAATTTTGATTTGAGTTTTTTGGGGGATTTTTTTTAAAAGAAATGCTACAATTGTGTTAAAAAAGAAAAAAAATGTTGTTTTACATAAAAGGAATTGTTAAAAAGAAAATATTGGGAAAATGGATATTAAACCTAACTGTGAAATGGCATACTTTTGTTTTATATCAATCTGGAGACAAATCAGTCCCTTTGCCTAGAGGAATGTGCCGTCAGACAAGGCCCTTCTGAAAATAAAGGACAATGTAAGGCACAAAAGAACTGCTGACCTTCACACAGTCCTGTGAAAAACTAAATGAATGCCACGATTCAGTAGTTTGTAGAACCACCTTTAACAGCAATAACTTACAGTAATCAATTTCTGTATTGCTTCATCAGTTTTGTCACATCATCGTGGAGGAATATTGTCCCACTCTTCTTTACAGCGTTGCTTCAGTTCATTGAGGTTTGCAAACATTTGTTCATGCATAGCTGTCTTAAGGTCAGATTTACAAACATGCTGCAACGGCAAAAACTGGATCTTGGTACTGTCAGAATTTGTAAAGAGAGCATCCTGAAAATACTCCGGCCTTGGATTGAAGTTTTATTACACTTAAATTTAAATGGTTACAACTTCAGGACCGTGGACAGTGTACACAGTTTTTTCACTGCGATCTCTTGAGCTGTTCTCAAACACAATTTGAGACAAAAGAGCATGCGAGTATGTGTTGAAAGATGAAGCCTGACCGACAGGAGGGATTTTCTGGTTGGTCTTTCAACAGGTGAACTTGACAGCTCAGATAAAAACAACATCCAACACAACAGAGTCTGGACACACATGACAGCACACACAGACATTTCACAAAAAGACACACACATGTATTTACACACAACTCTGCCATAGCCTCAAAAACTTGAGTGCCTCAGCGCGCGTGTGTGTGTGCGTGTCTCTGCAGAGGCGTTCTTCCTGCAGCACAGCCTCTTAAAGGAAAGAGACAGACTATCCGTCCTATTTATAGTAACACAGAGAGCTATCAAGACTGCCTCCACAACAACAACCCTGCTGTTTGCAAGACTTGTGAGTTGAAACAAAACTGACTATGTTGTATATTCTTTGTGCGTGTGTTTGTCCATGCCATCGGCATCTACATCTTTGTGAATCCGTGACAGTTCTCAAATTTCATCTCCAGAACTGTTTTTTACTCTTTGTGTAAACAGGACAGGCCCCCAGAGGACATCCACCCCACACTTCATGAAATCTGCTCAGAAGAAGGAAACGAGATACCATTTTTCTGTTTGTCTTATGTTTTTTGTTTTGTTTCTTTTTTTTCCCAGAGGTCTGAACTGTTTCTCATATCCTGCTACTGTCATCGCTGCTGATACAGCATCTATCAACAGCTCTATGCTTTAGCAGCCAGACTAAAATACAATCAACTCAGAGTGACTCAGGACAAATCCAAGCTGACCCAGTCAACCAGACACTAAGCTTGGCCTGTATTAAAATACTGTGTAAAAGTCTTGAACTTAATTCTTTATATTTTGTTATCGAAATAGGAAAAAGTTGCAGAGATTTATTTAATGTTCACAGTGATGTCTGTAGACGCTCACTTTTGTACCTCACTCCTGACTTCTTTCATAAATATGGAGGATAAAATGAAATGATTTTCAGCTCTTGTGTAATTTGACATACCTCAGCCTTTTCTTATGAATTCCCTTACTTAAAAATGCCTTCTTGACAGCCACCCTTCCCCGGAGACCATTTCTGATGAAGCTTCACTGAACAGTAGATGGATCACATGAAGAACCCGATTCATCTCTCAAGTTCCTATGTCAGGTTTTTGTTGGATTTTTCCTATTTCTTAACAACATAACTTTCACATACTGTTCGTCTGGAGTAGATAGCATTTTAGGCCTGACACGTCTTTAGAGGCGCTGCACACCATGCTGAGATATTCCAAATTTTCCACTAATAGCTCTTTGAAGATCAGCAAAATGCCTAAAGAAAACATTTAAGACTGGGTCTTTGCTAAATTATCTTTTCTGTATGGGCACAACACTAGTTCATCCCTTGAGTTAGGTGTCCTTTTGTGCTTGAATGATTTAACAGGTTAAAGAAAAAAAAATGACTGAAAATGAGTGAAAAAGCTACTTAAAAACATTGAAAGACCTTCAGAAAGTCTGCAGTATTATTGCTCAAGAGCAGCAAATATAAAGAAATAAGGGTTGACTTTCAAGCCTTTCATACAGTATCGTATTTGGTATAATCACACAACAGCCCTTAAACATAAGAAAGAAACCAGAATATCTACAGTATATATCATTCCATGAATGTTAACTAATGCATTGGCCCAATGAGTTTTCTTGCATGTCCAGTTTTGCATTAGTCTGTAACTTATTTCACAAACTCACAGAAATAATGGTTAAATTGTTTAAAACACAGCTTGCAAACACACACTTTTTTACAAATATTTGCACTGATCTTGATTCATCAGTGTATTCCGGTTGGGGATTAACATTTACTGCAAATGCCAATAACTCCTGGCAGTAGTTAGTTTTCTTCTAGAAATCTTTTTCTTATTTATTAATAACTCTGACTGTGAAAGTTTACGATCTTGCCATCTTACCCCCAGCAAGTCTGAAGTTCTCTTTAGTGCCTCCTTATCAACATGGATGCGGTGGCTCTCCATGGCTAAAACAAGAAAAATAATTTATTGATTCATTAACAGGAAATCTTTCAACAGCTGACAGATTTTTATTGTGGATATAGAAAACTGGAAGAGCCCAATAAAAAAATTAATTGTCATCCAGTATTACATGCTTTTACTCTGTTTATTCAGGGATATTTTTCACAATAAATCTCACAGGGTGTGGGTTGAAGAATCTGTGAGAAGATTTCGTTGTATTTTAAAACAATTCTGAGTGTCTGGAGGGAAAAAAGTAAAGCAGTGCTCACCTGCCAGAACAGGGATCATGTTAAGCTCCATATCTGAGTAGAGCTGCCACAGCCCTTGGCTCTGGACACACAAATTATCAGTTAGGTAATCTGTTGGTGTGTGTGTGTGTGTGTGTGCATGTTTGTATGTGAGCATTTGCCTACATGTAGCTCAGAGCATAGCTTCATATTAAGCCTGTAGAGCCAACAGAGACCTGAAATAATCTGAGAAACCTGAGAGAGACACAAACAAAGAGAGAAAAAAGAAAAGGGAGGAGGAACATGATTCAGGTTTTGTTGTGTAGAAGTACTTCGTGAGTCATGGTTTCTTCTATAGTTAAAATTAGTATCTTTTCAGTTAAAAAACAACACCAAAAACATGAAAACATCAACTGTCTGCTAAAATCCTTTGGTGTCAGAAAGTATAACTAGCATCACCTTCTTTTCTATTCGACATTTAACAAAACAGACCTTTTAATTTTCACATGAAAATTTAATTTTCACATGAAAATTAAATGGGCAAAAACGTCGAGACCCGACATTTCGTGGCACAAACGTCTTGAGGCAATCACTGCAATCGCACACTTTTGTGGCTCTTAATCAGACTTCCACAATCCATAGCCAGAAGTCTGGTCCAGCGTCCTTGATTCAGTTTTGTTCAGTTTGATAGGAACAGGATTATAATTGTTTGCAGGTGCCCTCGTCGTACTCATTCTTAATGTCCCTTTTCAACATGATTTGTCTGCTTGAGAGATGGAGTTACAAAAAACTGACAGACACGTGGACTATTCCAGTCCTATTCTATGTTACACACACACAGGTGCTGTACTACAGTCAGATTCTTCTCTTCAGATTGATCAGAACACACAGCGAGCAGCCGCAGAACAACCCGATGTTACAGTTTAAGATGTACGTGGTGGGTTATTATACTGTAAAAGGAGCCAGGATTGCAATACCATCACTGTATAACACCTTTAATGACTTAATGCACCCCATCCAGTAAAACAGCCCCATAATATAACTCAGCCCCCTTCATATCTTCTTCACTGAGCAGAGAGCTTACCAGAAAACTGCTTTTGTTAAATATGTCCAAAGGAGTTTCTCTCAGGCTCATTTTAGCTTGTTCATGTTTCTCATTTCATGTTTCATAAAAGCTGTACACAGATCTGTTTTAAAGTCCTTGTTTTTATTTTTTACTATTCAAACTTTCTTCATAAATATAGGGCGTTTGGATTTTCTTCAATCCAGATCCAAGCAGGTTTGCAGCACTCCAGTGGACCTTAAATCTTTCAATAATTAGATGCTGTAGTCCCAAAAACACTGCCAAGACTCGTGGCCTTTAATGTTACACTAGCTGAAATTATTTTCTTGTGCCTCAGGCATCTTCTTTTTTCCTCTCTTATCCGCTCAGAAATGCTAAATGTAAATAGAGCTTACAAGACTTCCAGCTCTAAGAAACTGTCCTATAGAAACGTTACTTAGCAGTCAAGTGTAACAAATGCCAATTTAGACTTAAGCTTACTTTCTGGGCACCCAGGGCGGGTAATGTGTGGGGTCTTTTGCAGTATTTATGGAGAAGCTCCTGATAGCAGGAGGACGGGTCTGTGGGATCCAGCAGCCACCCTGACACCTGTGGGTCCTGGATATGACAGCCTGCCACTGCATAGGGAGAAAAGCTCATCATGATAATGAGCAGCATTTGGTTTCCTCCACACTGATCAGGGACTGGCATATGAATATAAAGTCACACCAATAAAATACGGGATGTGTTCACATTGTATATGATCAAATATGTTTGCTGTAGGAGTCGTGTGCAAGCATCTAAGTGTCCAGTGTATGTTTTTCATGACTCCTGCTACTTTAATGGAAACATTTTCAAACAGTGCCACGCTGCCTTGCTTCCATAATGTGTTTTTACTGTGTTTTTTGAATAAAGCTCTAATTTTCTACCAGCTGTTTGTGGCTTGGATGGTTTACTGACTACGTGGAATAAAGAAACAGATAGGGGCATTACTTAAGTCTTTGATAAATGTTGATGTTGACAATGAATTTGCAAAGCAGTGTTGTGCATAAACAGCTAGAAGCAGATGTACATGTGTGAAGGTCTTTAGGGAAGCTGTGTTTATTTTTGTGTCATGCCTTGTTTCCAGCTGAGGTCTTGTCTGTAAAACTGCAGAACTGTACGAAGCAAATCCTTGGATTTATAGCACACCACCAGCTGAGATCTCGATAGCACCTGTAGCACCATATCTCTGTGGGACACACACACCTTTAAGTACTCCTGCTGTACTATCAAACACTTCGATTAGACACACATATATAGAAGCACAGACCTAGTAAAGAGCTCCTGGCTCTGATGGACTTGTTGTTGGGCCCATGCAGGTGTGTGTTCTAGTTTTAAGTAGACCAGAGTGTCGTTTGGGTCGAGCACACCCTCCGGTGTGCTGCAGTCAAGTTCGTTCTTCATTAGTATGAGGAGGCCACATGCTGGTGGAGTGAGCTTCTATATCAGAGAACAAAAAGCAGATTTACAAGAGCACAGGGGCTGCAAGTTAATGATGAAGCAAACAACAAGAGTATACAGTTTACACTGTGATGAAAGGCACAGGACAGCTTCAGACAGTTTTCTGAGCCCCTAAAGATGTAAACATTAGCTGACTGATGCAGTTTTGGTTTTCTTAATTAATGCAACCTTCAGCAATCTGAGGTTTGGTGCATGAGAATGCAGAAGTGAACTTGAAGACTTTAGCCAATCAGCATTAAGGACCTGATCTATAAGATAATAAAGGTTACCCACAATTAAATAATGTGTCTCAAGTTCACAAATCATAATTTATCTTAACATATTTATGTTATTCCATAAGAATGACTGCGTAGATTGTAAACATTTTGCGTCCTTACCTGTTCTGCGTCTAACTGAGTGCTTCCATCTTGGTACACCATTGTTAGCACCAACACCTTAGCCTGCCCAGCGATCTCAAGCATCTGCACCTTCTCATCTGGTTTAAGTTTTCCAGAGTACTTTACTCTAGAGTCACATGTCAAGCTTGCAGCCAGACAGCCAGCTTTGGATTGGGTCGGCGGCTCACTGTTCTTAACTAGTTTTTGGAAACCTTTGGGCCCACTTGTGGTGGGGTTAGTTTCACATGCAGCTTGCTTGGGTTTGCGTGGTTTGGAAAGTGGGGGGTGAATGGAAGCCTTCCCTGGTAATTCCCTTGATAGTTTTTCCATTTTATTCTGCCTGTTTTGCTGAGTTGGGTTTGAGGCATCTAGTTGTGTACACGCCCCAGACACTGCTCTTGTTTCATGTGAAGGACTTGCTTTCCCCTGTGGTTCTCTGGCACTCTTTGACTCCCTAACTCTTCCTTCCCTTGGTTTCTCTTGTGAGGATCGAGGAGGCTCCCATTTTGGAGGGCGTCTGCTTAGGCTGATTTTGGCAGGAGGGTCAGTGTTTTCGTGCTGAAATGCTTCACGTTTCCTCTTTAGGGGGAAGGAAAGTTTCACGCAAGGATGACGTGGAGAATTTTTTAGTTTTCGATTTTCTAACTCTTTCTTCGGTGCTACAACAGCTGAAGTCAATTCCTGCACTGAGAAGAGGTTTTGTCCAGGCGCAGCAGTGATTGTTGGGGCCACTATCAAGCTCAAGCTACTCCCTCTGGTGCTTCCATTAGTGGTCTAAGCAACAAAAAAGGTGAATAATGTAGAGAGCGACAAAGGACACAGAAAAAAAGAAGCAGGCACTTGAAATAGACTCCCGCTGTCCCTGCAGGTTTTGTTACATAGAACATCAATACTTCACTACTTAGAGGACTGAAGTGAATGAAATAAAAACTTCTAGTTGGACATGATTTGTTTTAGCACTTAGAATAGAAACATAATTTAATTATTCCCATTCGCGCTTTGACGTAGCAGGATCACACAGTTTGTGAGAGAGAGCATAAAAAAGAAGGCCTGAAAAATAAACAGGTAAGAGGAGAGAAGCCAAAGAAAAAAGGATGTGAGCCCTGAGCACTGTGTCCCAGACAGAAACACAGCCACGATACTGTCTGACAAACCTGCCTGAAGCTGGGACAGGGTCAAAAAAGCAGACACACGCACAGACACACAATAATAGCAGCTCTACTTTGCTTCTTTGGCTGAATGACGATGATTGTTTGACTATAAATAGTTACATTAAAAAGGGTTTAATGAACCAGAGCTGAATTGCATGCAGCATACATATAATAAATATACAGTATTTATTGTCTATATTTAAATAGTGCAGTGCAAAAATTGTGTCACTCTTCATTTCTTTATATTTTTCTTCCAAGGAGCCAGACTTTCTTGCAACTTTTTAAAGAGGTCTTGAGCAATAGTTCTCCAGGTTTTCTGAAGGTCTCCCAAAGTTTTTCTTTGGCTGCTTTTTCACACATTTTCAGCCTAGTCCTTGTAACTGACCAATTTTCTTTATTTGTGTATTAAGCCAAGTATCAATAATTTAAGCATAAAGAGTCAGCTTTGTCTACACATGATGGACAACTTAGAACTTAGAATGAAACTGCATCTTTAGGCTCTTTTTGATATTTGCAGCCTGTCACAAAAAGGTATTTGTTCAATTTTTTCACTGGAACTGATGAAAAATGCTTTTAAAAATAGTATTTTTTCACCAACAAGATAATAAAAAGCTGAGAAACTTGGCATATCCTGACATGCAAAGACCTGCCACAGAAGCTGAGAGATCCTTCAGCTGATCCATCTACTGGTCACTGAAGTCGCATCAGAAATGGTCTCAGTGGAAGAGCAACTGCCAAAAAGCCATTCTTAAAGAACGAAAACAGGGAGAAGAGTTTGAGGTATGTCAAAGTATACAAGAACTGGACTGAAAATAGTGAAAATCTAAGGTCTTATGGAGTGACAAACCCAACTTTGACATTTACGGAACACTCTCAGTCATGGATTGGCTTCCCCAGAGCCTGGACCTCAACGTTACTGAAGCAGTGTGGGATCATCTTGAGGACATCCAACATCCAGAACATCCAAAGATGCTGAGGTTTGAATGTCCTTCAAGAAGCCTCAAGAACTATTCAATGAAAACTACATCTATAAAGTTCAATGCAAAACAATACAATGTGAATACGCTGAACTCAATATATCAATACAAATGATAATGATATACAAATGATCATAACATCAAAACTGTTATGATCCCACAGAAGTCCCATCTACCACAAGTACAATCTCCCCTCCCTGTAACTTTAATGGCATCTTTAAAAAATGTATATTATTCATATCTCTAACTCATTTCTTTTTATGCAAAAGCACCAGGTGTGTAAATGTAAATGTTCTCTGAAGTCTTGACAAGCGATAGAGAAATGGGTATTTCTGAGGATTTTCAGAGATGATATGCGACTGTATTTATGTGCATAATTCCGCAGGTTGTTGGCTGTCGACCCGGGAGGTAGGAATTCCTGTGATTCAGCTCCCTGAGGAGAGACTTCATTCATTTCCCAGTAAACACAACCCGTTTTCCTGCTGACAAAGTCATGAACCCCCCTCATGGGTGCTGTGCTACAGGATATAGATAGAAAACCCAGGCAGACCATGGCCCATAGCCCAGTACTGGTGCATATGGAGAGAGTGAAAAGAGAGAGGGAGAATGGACTGCTGTGTCTGCTGCTGATTGTAGCAATACAGTAAAGTCCTGCCCTCTTTTTCTCTCCTTCTCCTGCTGCATCCTTCTCATTAGCTCTTCCACATTCCATGCATCCATCCAACCACCTCCCTTACTCCCTTTATAGCACTTTCTCTCTGCAGTTTGCTCTCCTTTTTCAGCTAGTATGTATCATGGACTACGACTCTGTCGGGTCTTTATGACCCAGTGGAGACCCATTACTTGTTGTGTGCTGCAGTGCTGCTGACAAAACTCTTATTTCACACTAGCTACATTTATATCTATGTAAATGAGAGACACAGCAGCCTTGGTCTAACCTGAAAGCACGTTTTTAAATTTTAGGACTTTTTAGTTTTTCAGTGAAAAAAGCAGAGGCAGAGATAAGCGGAAGAAACGGGGAAATAAAGACACATCAGTTAAACGTATAAGAAAAGGACAAGTAAAAGACTGCAAGTGACAACAAAGCTTAGTAAGTACACTTTCTACCCAACTGAAGTGTCAAAGCGGATTTGTTAAGGGCAAAACACTTCATGTCCTCTTCCCATCTTACTGATTATGTGAGCTAAGTAGGCATAAATTAAGCTCAGCATTTATGTCCTATGAGCATTACTTAGGGTTGCAATGTAAAGCAGTTTTTGGAATTTTGCAACATTTCTCTTATGAAACTTACTTTTGCATTGTCATGCTGCTGCTGGCTGCTACTGAGACGGGCAGCTCTAATCCCCGACCCATTAGCCCCACACTCCTGGGACAATGTTGGCATAGCAGCCCTTTCTCCCTCTGAATTCCCTAGAAGAGGATGTTAGAGCATTTTTTATCTGTTCATCACTTTTCAAGTCAGTCCTCAATCAATAAACCAGTTCTGTTATGTAAGCATATATGAGGCAGCATGTATGGAGGCTTACACAGTGTGTGTGGCACCTCAGCAGTGTGTGATAGGACAAGGTCAGGCAACACTATAAATCTTAGCTAAGATCAAACTGACGTTTTGCTACGACACAACTTCCAACTTGTTCGAGAGTGTTTGTGCCTGTGTGTGCGTGTGTGTGTGTGTGTGTAGAATGGGTCTTGACTCGGCATTGTCTCTGCAGCTGAGACTCAAACACCTTCATGCAGCTGTAATGTGAGCAGGCACAAAGTCTCCCGTCAGTGCTGAGTCTCTTCAGCCCTGCCATGTCATCAGTGCCAAATCAAAGAAAGAAAAATGGCTGAGAGCCACTGGAACTGATGTCTGACACAACTTTACAAGCTTTAGCACCCCCTAGAGTTGCTTTTTCTAATCCAACCATAGCTAAAACAGCCCAAGTTTTATTTTAATCTCATTTTTTCCAGGTTAAATCATACGGCAGACACTCTATAGAACTGAGAAATGAACTTCTTTCATTTTAATTACATGTCAAATATTGTTTATGTGATGTTATACAAACATATACTTTATAGTCTCTTCAGGGCCCTTCAAAATCTAAACGCACACTCAGTCTCTAGGGTGAGTTTTAGGGGAAACAAACATATTCAACAGATATGATAGTGTCACTGATAGTGATTATAAAAATCAAGCATAGTTTTATTTCAGGCTAGCCAAAACTCCACCTGAGACATCACCTAATCCTCCGTTATACTTCCAATTGTAACAAATAGGACATGCTATTTAAGCTGCTTTAGTCTGTATAGTTACTGTGTATCTACAAGTCACTTTACAACCCATCTCCACACCAGCTCCTGCTTTCAATCTGTGTCTGCCTAATATCTGATATGTAAGTGTTGTCATTGTAGCATGCTATGATCTGTGCTCGGTTTATGTTACTGCTCCTCCTGCCTCCATTTAGTATAACAAATATTAAACCAAATGGAAATATCTCTCTTCTTTTGACTACACTGTTCCTGACTGGACTAATCTTGTGATTGCCACTCTTTTGAGCATAACAATCATAAACCTTGAATTAACCTAATCAAATGAGCCATTATGAAGGTAAAAATCAGTGGTAAACCCAATATAAGTAAACCCCATTCAATGTCAGGATAATCATATTACAGAAACATCACTAGCAACACACTTACCTGCAGATTTATTCTCAACATCACTGTCCACAGCTGCCACTTCCTCTGCCTCTCCGTCTTCTCCCCCTTTTCCCTCTTCAGTGTCCATTCCGAGAAACTCTGTAAGTTTTCCATCATGTGTCTCACACTGTCCCTGCGCCATCTGATGATTAGTGTTTGCCATTGTTTTATTCTTAAATGTAAAATCCATTTTGGCCTCCATCACCTCTGTCTTTTCTATGTTTTCAGCACTGTTGTCCTGGAGGCTGACGCTCCTGGCCTCAGGCTGCTCCTGAGTGTGGTCGTTCTCTGCTGTGTTGGTCCCAATCTGACCCTTGTTCTGAGGCTTTTCAGTGTTGCAGTGGCTCACATCCTGGAGTCCACTTCCTAAAGATATGGAGATCTTCTGTGGATTTTCATGTTCAACTGTTGTTGCTTTATTCTCAGTATCAAGAAAGTGTTCAGTTTTGACTTCAGAGGCACTGACTATATATTCTAAACCATTTTCTTCATTCTCCCCACGTGTTCCTCTTTTAGTGCCACTGTCAACAAAATCGTCTCTGATGTCTAATGAGTTCAAATGGCTTTTAACTGTGGTGTCTTCAATGGTTCTCACAGGCACAACTCGCTCCATTTCATAGGCAGATCCTTTTGCATGAAGTACACTCACATCTCGATTTTCTCTCTCTTTCCTTGCAGCTTCATTTACTGCGTTTTGAATTTCATGGCATATGTTTGAAATCTGTCTGGTTCCCAGCTCAGTGATATGTTCTGTATCTGCTATCAGCACCTCATCTTCCTTCCCAACTATATTTTTCATCAACTTGGGCAAATGTGCATCACAACAGTTCTCCTGTCTTGTAATAAAGACGCTAGGGGGTAGATGTACCCTTCCAGTGTTGATTGTTTCAGATTCTGACTGCTGGTATAGCACAACTCTGTCTCCTGCTCCACCACTGGCTGCTTCAGTGGGGTCAGATAGAGGCTGCTTCCATTTTAATCGACTTCCTGGAGCTCTGGTGTCTTGTAGTTTTGTGGCAATATGCCAGCTGTCTTTACCAACCTTTTCTGTCTGTGCACCTGATGTCCTGCTTTCTCTCCCTTCATATATTTTAAGGCACGACGATACTGGATAACAAACTGCAGCAGGCTCCTCTTTATGACAATTAGATTGTTCTGTTGTTGGAAGCATGATGTCAGGATCTTCATCGTCTGGAAATATATTCAAGATGAAAGGTGGTCTGATTTCTTTTGTTGAGCTACAAGTAAAAAGAAAATAAGCAAACAATTTTTTAAAATCCATCCTGCCAAGCATCAGCACCAGAACAGTGTCAATACATGCTAAACTTATGTCCCTCTTAATATCAACCAAATTTGCATAGTTTTAATATATCAAAGTGCAATTCCTAAAGCAGTGTTAATATATTTTGGGATTCCTTTAAACATAAGTAGTCTCTGCAATAAAACTGCATGTTTATTTGCTTTGTCTCTTACTTTTTCCATGGTGTAGTTTCCTGTTCAGAGAGCCTCTCTGGTATTTGGAAGGAGAGGGTATAGCTGTCTCCATGACAGAAAGCGGCTGGCGTCTCAGGAACCTCATGCTGAGAAAATGACAGAGACTGGCTGGACTTGTAAGCAGGGGGTTCAGAGCACTTTCTGTGGGAATACGTCTGTGAGTACTGATAATAGGCTTCAGTCTGCATTTGGAGAGAGAAATCCCAGTAGGAGGAGGCAGAACAGGAAGCCTGAGATGACAGGGAGCTGTCTGGTGTCTGTGAGTACTGATAGATGGCCAAGGTCTGAGAGCTCTGCCTCTCACTGGAGGAATTATAGTGAACGGTGGAAAGGGAAGACACCTGGGGCCTGGACCACAACATGGAAAACCAATTTTACTTTTACTCTTGAATTAAACAGAGTACTGCGTCAAAGTCTTGTCATCACCCATCATTTCTTTCGATTTTGCCAGAGAAATGGGAAATAAATACAGAGATTTATTGAATTATGTGCAAACAGCCATGGCAACACAGTATATGAGGTAACAGCATAGTTCTAATGAGCTTAGAAAATCAATATTTGGTATGACCACCTTTATTCATCATCACATCCTTAACTCTCTTACCCAAGCTTTTGTCTTTTCTTTCAGTAACCTTAAGGAGTAGTTTTCCAGGCTTCTTGAAGCACACTCAAAGCTCTTTTTGGCTGCTTTTAGATGATCCCACACTGCTTTAATAATGTTTGGTGTATGGGGAGGCAAATCCCTGACTAACAGTGTTTACCGCAATGGCAATGTGTTTGAGATCACTGTCGTGCTGAAAAAATGAAGCTGCTGGCAATCAGATGCTTCCCAGGTGGTATTACATGGTTGGATCAATATGTGATGGTACTATCCTGTGTTCATAGTTCCACGAATTTTCATAAGATTGCCAAAACCACTTGCCGAAATGCAGTCTCAAACCATAAGGGCTGCATCATGTTTTACGCCATCATGTCTTACAGATGGTTGTAGACAATCACTGCTGTATCTCCTGTTGTTCTCCACAAATATTGACGAATTTAACCAAAAATTTCACATTTGGATTCATTGATCCATTAAGGTCTATGGAAATGGATTTTCTAAGTTGCTAAGTGGTCTGTTATGTGTAGAAACAACACTGCTTCATCTGTTTGTTAGGTGACGTATCTTGCTTGAATGAGTCAGTGCCTTAACATCCTAAGACCCGAACTCTTCCACAGCATGCAGTTTTAATTTCTCTTTGATATTTGGGCTGATTTGGACCCAATCAATGTAAAAATAAAAGAATTATCAGATTTTTTTTTTTTTTTACTAATTTTTGTTTCTAAGAAAAATGAGAGCCACATATGAAGATTTTCGTTTAAAATTTCAATAGAACAGTAGCAGTATAATGTCCTCGTAAGTAGATATCAGGCCCTTGTAGAGCAAAATTGAGTACTTTGGTCTAAATAACCCAAAATGTGATGTCCACATATGTGGACGCCAGGTTCTAGGTTAAAAGACATTCCTCTGAAAATAGTTAAGTAAAAGTATTGCCCTGATAATGAGTGAAAAAGCAGCCAAAGAAAAACTTTGGAGAACTATTGCTCAGGACCACTTATAAGGGGTGGCTCATGACTTTTGCACAGTATTCCACAATAACGATGAGTAATAATTATTAGGATCAGCTTAATATTTTGTTGAGGTGTTGATAAAGCTGATATCTGAACATTAATCTGACTTACTGATATGTGCATCTCTCCTCCTGACTCCAGCTGCTGTCAGCCCAAGACTCCCTCTGGCTGCAATTATACATCTCCACTACCACATGCACATCAAAAGAGCACAGAACTAAATACAGACAGCATTATATAACTTGCATGCAAGGCAAACTGAGCAGTAAAATGTTAAATGAGATGGGACCCACTTTATTCTTTTTCACATCTGCACTTAGTGTTTTGTAAGTTGCTGCTATCTATAATAATAGTTTGCAATAGCCCGCCCAGAAGTTGCATTTTTACAAAGCTTCAGTCTCTTTGAGTTTTCTTGTGTTTCAAATTCATACATAAATTCTATATTTTTTCCCCTCTTATTATTTTTAATGAAGTGGTTCCCAACCTTTTCCTGGTATGCCTTCACCCCCAGATTTTGTCATTTCACAACAATAAAAAGCAACCCCAACTTGAAATGAATGTCAGCACAAAAGCCTCAGCTGATTTTTTCCCCTCAGATAAATCCTATTGCAGTGTGTTTAGAACAAATTATTCTCCTCTTAATCCATGCGACCCAATGCTGTCTGTAGTTTGAGAACCACTGGCATACTGCAACAAGCTCAACTTGTCTGTGCTTCTAACCTGCCTGACTTTGTCTGCGATTGCTGGAGTAGTTTTGGTTGCATCTGGCTCCACGCAGACTTTGGGCCCGCAGAGCAGCCAAGACCTTCTGGGCTGCCCGTGACAGGGGTCCTGTGTACAATCTGTTGTTGGACCACTCCATCTCATCCCCAACAGAACAACTTAGCTCTCCCACTGTGCCCACAGAGCTTTGATTCTTCAGCTATGAAATGCCTGAATAGGACAAAGAAGAGAGCTTCTTCAGTGATAAACAGGCGAGCTTTAAACTGGTGTTTTTTAAACAAAAATTTAACAGAAAACAAAACAAACAAAAAGAAAACATTTTCCAGGAACTTTCACCAAGTATACTGACAATAACAAGAAGCAATCACAAGGCATTTATAATAAAAATCAAAACTTCAGAATTGTAGTATTTTGCTTTATTTAACTGATGACTGGAGACGAAGAAAAAAAACAAAACAAAAAAAAAAAACAAGAATTTTTGAACATCAAGACTGAACAACACAATCATGGATGCTTTTCACTTATGAATGTTTACATGAATTAAACACATTCAAATGAATCCCATATAAACAGGTCCATCTCCAACACAAAAAGATGAAACTAGATTATCAGCAAAGATAATTTTTCATTTTTTCAGCTCAAGCACAGAGAGTGCCTGAGCCGCCTGTAAATAATCTCAGAAGTTTTACTGCTGCCCTCTCTTTGCAGACATTTTCCCTTCCAGATCTTCAACTATTTTCTGCAGCAGTCGGGCATCCAAGTGAAAGTAGATATACAATTCCCTCTCCCGCCTGAGGAGGGCATTACGCTCCAGCTGAGAACGCTTGGTTTTAATTTTTCCCAGAATTTCTTGCATTAGTTGATGTAAACTCTGTAGCTGAGACTCTGCTTCCATGAGCTTCGCTGTGAGCTCCTGGAGAAAAAAATAAAATAAAAAATTATGAGGGTGAATGAGAAACAAAGATATAAGCACAGAGCACACAAATAACAGATACACAAGTAATTGTAGCTGGAGTATTATTAATTAAATAATCATTTGTTTTATTATTGTTATAATAATAATAATAACAATAACAATAATAATAATATCGAATTACATTTATAAGCCTCGCTGCAGGGCCAGAAACACAATACCATATGAACACGTCTATGCAGTTTACTACAGTTATGGGACAATAAGCAAAGATTTATGTAAATTTACATTAGTTGGTTTATCAAAAATATTAAGAGAATCATTGTCACAAAGCCTATATCGTTAATGCTATGGCAGCATTAAAAAGTGCACATTCACATTTTAAAACAGATTTTTTTAAGTCCACTTTGTATGAAGGCTGAACTTATAACTGCTGAAATGTAGTAGAGATGAATAGCTAATAGTCATTGATATTAAATCCCATGCCATGCAGTAAAGCTGATCCTCTTGTGAACAATTTATTACACAGTGCTTCTGTGCCCAACAAACAAATGTACAGTGGAACCCCGACTTGCGAATACCCCATTTCACGAAAAATTCAAGTTACGAAGACACTGGACGGCAATATTTCTGCCCGTGTTACAGCAAAATGCCCGAGTAACGAAATCCGCTGGCTCCGATTGGGTGAGTCTACAATGCCCACAATGCCTTCCGAATCATGTGACAACCCCTTGGCTTCCGTACTTGCGCTTCGCTGTTCCACTTGAACGACGTATTGTTGTTCTAGTTAGCAATTAGCCTATAGCCTGTCGTTCAGCATCGCCTCACTCAAAACGCGCAATGGGTGCTTCGACTTACGAAAGACCCTCAGGAACGAATTAATTTCGTAAGTCGGGGTTCCACTGTATTTCTTTACAATTTAACATGTGTGGAGAAATTCAGAAAACACACCGTGCTATCAGGTTATTCACCAATTGTGTCAAGTATTAGGTCTAAAAATCATCTGACTCACATGAAGGGCTGAGTGAACTCTGTCACCTTCGTTAACTATTCAAACTATAAAGTGAAAGGAAACACACCCACCTGTGCATTGGGGCAAAGGAGCTCCTGGTCAGTTAGACGTACCTGCGGGCCCAAGACCAGCTGCTGGAATTCAGTGTACATGGCCCTGTGAAGCGCCTCACAGTCGCCATAAAGACGAGCTGCTGTGAAACACTGCTCACGGCCAGCGCCAGCCAGAGCATCTTTGATCAAATGGAGGTTGTTTGCTAGATTACTAGCAGCTTGGTCCAACGCTTCATATGTTCGAAAAGGCTCTGATCGACTGTGGGCTGAATCATAGTCAAGCATCTGAAGGAGTCTGGGTAAAAAAGGGTGGAAATAACACCAAGTTATTCCAAAGTGATACAGCCTGCATTTATAAAAGGATCCAAAGGGTTATAAGCCAAAAGCAGAGTGCTGAGGTGAGTCTGTACTCCTGACTTAGGTCTGCAAACAAGAAAAATGCCACCTAACAGCTGCTAGGGTGAAGCACCCATAAAGATGTGCTGAAGCTAGCCATGGGGGATATATGGAGTTTCAGGTTTGATACTGAAACCTTCTGTTGGTGAGGGAGACCTAATCAAAAGGCTCAAAGGAAGAGCTAAAAGTAGATGAACTGAGGGGCAGCACCAAGATTCAGTGTAAGATAAAAGGATATTTTGAACCATTAAAAATGCAAAGCTACTCTAGCAGAGTTTGAAAATAAAAACTGTAAGGCTGGAGATCTACATTTGTATGCATGCATACACACACACACACACACACACACATATTTATATGAAGGTTGAACTGATGTCGTCAGGTACATTTAATCATGTTTGTCCAGTTTTTGAAAGGGCAGCTAGTGTTTATCAAATGTGCATGTGGTAAAACTGTAACTTGTTAATAAAAACTATTTTAGAATAAAGAAAATTAACATACTACAACAGCTGGCTGAACTTAAATGATTATTTATGTGTTTGGCTCATGCTTTTTCTGTCTATAATTCCAGCTCTAAAACTAAAGCCTATAGTAAATAGAGTTCAAATCTTCTCACCTGCTGAAAGCTGCATCTTTAGAGCTGATGATAGGGTTGGGTTTAGGGTTAATTATCAGGTCAGGATGTGCCAGAGACTTGATCCGGAGAGACACTTCGTCACCTTCCTTTTTCAGCTTGCCTTTAACATCACACAGGTGCTTCTGACACGTCTTCCACCTTCTTAACTCCATCTCCTGAGCCAGTAGGAGCAGATCAAAAGAGGCTTTCTGACGGAGCAAGTAGTCTCGTACCTGGGTGAACAGTGTTACACTTGATTTAGTTTGATGGATTCCAATTCCTAAAAGGACATGTAATGACAAGGAACGGTGGCTCCACAACTTTCTTAAATCTTACGCAAATTCCACAATACAGGTGTCTGTTGACAGACAAAGGACCAAATACATGACACTTACATGATGCTTACGAATATGCTAGCTTACAACCATTGCCTTTTTTTTAAGTTAACTTAAAGTTTCAGCTGTTTTGTTCAGGGCATTTTTAAAAGCTATGGTCTTTTAAAAATGTTGTGTTTTCAAGGATCTGATATCAAGAATATCATTAGTGGTTTATATGAGTTTTCAGTTTCACCATTATTGCTTTTCAACATCTCGGCCTGACCTCTTACCTGTCTGAGAACGATTTATCTCACATTAAAATCTCGTAATGTAATAAACATCAGAGTGAAATCAGTGGAAATGCTGCTAACCTGATTCTGTCTGGAGGTGTAGTAGTCCTGCCTGGCCACTTGCAAAGCCAGGTCTCCCCTCACTACTGGTAAATTAAGCAGTCTGGCTGACTCCCTCAGGGCAGCGGGTACTGGTCCATGAAGCAGAGCTTCCAGCTCCGCTTCCACAGCCTGCAGCTCCTTTCTGGACACAACCTCACGCACATGTAGTGAGGACGAGGTGGAAATGCTCTGGTAGCATAAAGACAGATGTAAGAAAGCACTTTATAGAAGAAGACAAAGCATTAATAAGACAAACAGTCACAACATGTTTACTTTACCTTAGTATGAGAAGACTTGTCTGACAGCCAGTCTAGTCCAGCCCTGACGCTCTTCTCCTCAGCCATAGCCTGCATCAGTTGGTGCTGAGCAACAATATGAGACCACTGAAGTCTGGCCATCTCAGTTCTCCTGCGATCGACCAGCCGCTCCTCTCCCTCGTGCCCAGTCTCCTCCTCTTTTCCATCTTTACAAGAACTGAGGTCAAGGACCTGGAAACGCTCAGAACAGGAACTCTCAACAATGGCTGATATGCCCTGGAAAAAATGTTTCTGTGTGAAGGCAGCAAGTGCTTTAGTGTTGAGCTCCTCCTGATGCAGGTATGGATCCAAGGGAAGCTGAGAGAGGAGAAAAGTGGGCTTCTGGGAAACAGGAGGGTCTGTATGGTCTTTTCCCTTTGGTTAGGCTTCTGGCTGAACTGGAAAATATGATGCAAGATTGCTGACCTCATCTGTTAGGGTTTGTAACAGTGTGTTGGTGTCAGCATTCTCAGCTCCAATAGAAGAGTTGGCCTCGTTGAGCTTACATGAAGTGCTCTCCAGCTCTGCAGTGAGTCGCAGGTCAACATCTGCACGGGAAGTGCTGACAACCTGCAACTTGTTATAACGTCGCTGCTTCAATTCTTTCTCTTTACGCAGGGCCTGGAGCTCTGCCTCCAAGTCCTCTATAGGGAAAGTCTCCTCTGCCGCAAACATAGATGATGAAGAGGATGACCCCAAGATCTTACCAGTGCTCCCATCTGAATTTCCAATGGTTTTAAGAACTTCACTCAAGGCGGTTTCATCTAAAATTGGTTTGCTGGAATTTTGTAGCTCCTGAAAGGCACGTGCCTCCTCCGGGGTGAGGACGTTGCTCTGGTTGAGAGTCCGACAGACAAACCGCAAGAAGTGAAGGTTCTCCGGAGCACAGTCAAAGAGCCAGTCGAACTCTGAGGTCTTCAGTGATGATGAACCAGGATAACCCAGGCGGCCTAGGGCCTCCACAAACTGTCCACCGTCTAACATGTTTAACCTGTTTCCCACAACACTGTGCTAGTCAGTCATGCAGCAACACAATGGAGATCAAAGAAGATTAGATGAAGGCACATGAGGCAAGGAAAATATACAGCAAAGCATAATTCTGACTTTTCCAGACTAAGGATATTCTTGGGTTAATGTGCATTTTTTTTCTGGTCAGCTACATTATCAGTTCACAACACTGCATAACACATAAACATAAACTGAAAACAG